CCCAAGTTGAGCAGCAAGAAAGCATGGGAAAAAAACAGAGACCCTGTATAAGACTAAACAGGCACAGGGAAGGGGCATGCCAGACATCCTCCTGTTCCTGTGGGCAAAGTACATGAGCCAGACCTGTAAACTGGTGATGATCGCAGTGTCCAAAACAGTCTGTCTCATGAGATATTTTGCAGGAAATCTCCTGAGACAGTGGGGGGCTTTTGCGCTGACCAACAGAAGACCCTGGCTCATGATCCTACCATGGTTCTACCAGACCCAGAATGAGTTGCCCAGCATATACAGCCTACAGAGCACAGGCCCCATAACCAGCTCATGATCCTACCATGGTTCTACCAGACCCTGAATGAGTTGCCCAGCATGTACAGTCTACAGAGCACAGGCCCCATAACCGTGGTCAACCACAAGAAGATGCAGGAGGCGGTGAGAAGCAGAGACAGTATCCAAGAGAGGACGAAATCTTTTTCCAGCAGGTAGGCAAGCGACGTGCCTTCCTCGACAGGAGGTGACATGAACGCCTGATCCATGAGTTGAAGAACCTGCACAAACAGGCAGCCGTGGGCTGGATTGTCCACTAGACCTGTGCAAAGCAACTACCATTCGCTTCGGATTTGGATTCAGCCAATTTGGGGGACAGTGATTCGATTCGGTGATTCAGATACAGAAGCACTTCTGAAGCAAGAGAAAAAAGTCGCATGGGGCCAGGTCACGTGAATATGGGAGCTGCGGCACTTGTGGGATACAGTGCAACTTTTCTCTCTTCCCTCAATTAAAGAAAACCTTGAAAGGAAGATTTTGTGATGTGGAAACCATAAAACAAAATGCAATGAAGCAGCTTTCAGCAATTCCAGAAATTGCTTATCAAAAGTGCTTCCCTCAATGGCAGAAATGTTGGGAGAAGTCTGTGGCTGCAGAAGGAGCACACTTCAAAGGAGATTAAGCCAAAACTCCTATAAATAAAAGATTTTGTTTCCTACAGCATCAGTCTTGATACTTTTTGGACAGACCTCATGTATTTGCTCTGAAAACAACAGCTGGCAGAGGGTGAATCCTTCCATTTATATGGAGAATATTGGCAGCAGTAGGAGTCAATGTCCATCCTTGTGTGCTGGAAATGTACGGTGTTGCATCCTCTGCCTCCTTATAAAATGACAGCCAATATCCAAGTGAGTTTTGCAGCACAATATTGCATCAGTTACCAAACCCATTCATGGACAGTGGGCATAAGGCAGGCTGTGAGCAGTGCTGGGGGAAATGATTTGCTGACTCCAGTAGTAACCCTAGAAAATGTCCACTAAAATAATGTCCACTGAGGACCCTGTTGCCCCACAGCTCCTACCTCGTTAGCTCACACAGCCATGGCTTCTCTTGTACTTTTGTTTCCCATAGGAATACTCCCCATTTCCTGGCAGGACCCTTCACATGGCCATGAAGACCTGTTGCCCCATATCACAGTTCATGCAGAGCACACGCGGGTCTCCTCCATCAGTGAAGTGGCAATGCAAACATTTACTTCTGTGTGAGGCCTGAATGCCAGTTCTTGGACCCAATGGTGGAGGAAATCCTGAATTATCTGCTGTCCATCTTGGATGGGAAAGGTGATATTATAGCAAGATTCAGGGTGGTGTAAAAATACTGTCTGATGAGTAAAACCCAGCAGGGGGATGTGTGTCAAGGGCATAGGGCAGAAAAACTGAGGGGGAGTTGGCACTTCTTCAGCCCTAATCTATGGTGAGACAGTGCCCAGCTGGTCCTGTGGGCAGGAGGCCCATGGGTGGGCCTGGCGAGAGCTGCAGGTGGACTGTCAGGCCTGTGCATGTAGCTGTGAGATAACTCTCTGAGACATAAACACCCAGACACATGGAGGGGCCAAGTCAGGGCTGCCGGGAAGGGAAGGCTGAGCACTGAGACCCCAGACACCAGGGCACAAAGAAGTGACATCTCCACAGTGACACCAACTCCCCCAGGCAGGTTTCAGCATGATGCCAACATTTCCCCACCCAGGCAGGTCCATGGCCCCCTCCCCTGGGTCAGGCCAATGGGGCAGGATTGGTGCTGCTGAGGGGACCCTTCCTCTGGGACTCCCTGAGTCGTGGGTGTTTCAGTTGTCCTCTGGCTGCTGCAGGGACCTGAAGCCAAATGCTGCAGCCCTGATTTCTCGCTTGCCCCAGCTCCCTGGTTGCCCCAGGGGTTTGGCTGTTGGGGACAGTAGGGTTTGCCCCAGCGTCTGCACTGGGTCTTGTTGCACCGACTGCTGCATGAATGCTCACCTCTCTCTCTGCTGTTCCAGGATTCAGAAGAGACTGAGGACACGCAGGTGAGTGACAGTGACCCCAGGCCCCTCCCCTGGAGAACAGTGCTTCCTGAAGCCACTGCTGCCACCATCACTGTGCCCTGAAAGTAGGGTTTGAACTTGTGATGGGACAGAGCAACTACATCCTTGCTGTCTTCTGCCCTCACTGCCACTTTTCCCAGCACATTGTGTCCACTCAACCCTGGGCAGGGCTGGGCTTTTGGCCATGTCAGACTCAGGTGGAGGACTATGGGATTCCTCTGATATTTCTATGATATTGCTCTACCTTTTACCCTGTTTCCACCCTACCCCTGTAATCAATAAAGTTCTCCTTTGTGACCGGTGTGGGAGACTTATTGAGGGGTGGGTCTGAATTATGCCGAGGAGGCCCCTTAGGTCGGTGGACAAAGGGAGACTTCCCTAATCAGCCCCTGATTTGGGAAAGTGCCCCAAGTGCCTGTATTGGGTCTAGGACCCATTGGACGATCAGGCCTGTGTTCTCCAAGGTGCGCAGAGCCAGAAGTGAGTCCAGAGCCTCGCATGGTGGCAGCGGGAACCCCAGGCTAGCGGGTGTGCTCCAGGGAAGGGGTCGGCCGGACGGGAGGCACCCCAGGGAGGCACTCGGAGCCTGGAAGGTGGGCGGGCGCAGGGAGGTGGGCGGCTCAACGCAGGAGCACCCCCTACTGGCCCGCCACAGGGATCACCTGTCTAAGGAGGGCAATGACAGTGCTGAGGGACTTGGTGGCCTCAAGGAAGGATTGGTGGACCACCAAGATCTGGGAGACAGTACCCCACTCACTCTGTTCAGGGGGCCGTTAATCCCAATCGCCCCGAGCAAGGCCATCTCATGGCTGGCCTTCTGTTGCTCCACCAGCCTCTCGAGCATCAGGAATGTGGAGTTCCACTGAGTCTGCACATCCTGCGTGATTTTGTGCTGCAGGATGTTCAACTCTGCTTGTTTGTCACCTGAGGGCTCAGGAGCAACTATTCATCCTGAACTCCCCTCCCCAATGGGTTGTGGCCCTTTAGAGCCTCCCTGACAAACCTCCTGAGCTTGTCAAAGTCAGCTTTTCTGAAGTCGAGGACTTCTTTATTGCTGGCTGATTTGTCAGATTTATGGTGGATGGTGAAGTTGATCAGTTTGTGGTCACTGTCACCCAGCTTCCCTTTGATCCTTAGGTCGCTGATTAGGTTGTCCTCCATTGCCAGAACCAGGTTGAGCAGCGCTTTGCCTCTCATCGGCCCACCAACTTCTTGCATCAGATAGAGCTCATCCACGCATTTATTACACATAAGCGAGGTGTGCACCTTCAGGTGAGTGCTGGGATCTTTAGAGGATCTGATCACAGCCCCTAATCCAGATTGGAGGGCAGAACTGGATTGACGGGCACACCAGCTGGCACCATGTTCAAGATGTTCATCATTCCCCAGCCACCCGACAGCCCCAGCAAGGTACAGAGCTGACATCATTACATTGCAGACATGAATGACCCATTTGGTGTCAAGACTTCCTTCTTTCTCTCTAGATATATGCTCCATTCCCTGGAAAGATGGATCTTAGCCTGCAGGGATGAGCATTATGAAAGTACCTGAAACCCAGGTTTTTATGGGATTGAGATAGGACACAAACTACTGACTGGGGAAATTTCTGACAGAACTGAATCAGTACTTTTGTAAAAGTGGGCCCTTTCTTCAGGTCTGCCCTGAAACCCTGAATTACTGCCACTTCCAACGGGGAATATCCTGAATTACCTTCCTAGTGAGGAGTGACTTGGGTTGGGGAGAAATTAAGATGCTTTTGGTATGAAAAAGCATGTGAAAGGCTAGGAAATAGAAATAAATCTGCCATGAAAGAAATTAATACTTCCATTTATATGGAGAATATTGGCAGCAGTAAGAGTCAATGTCCATCCTTGTGTGCTGGAAATGTACGGTGTTGCATCCTCTGCCTCCTTATAGAATGACAGCCAATATCCAAGTGAGTTTTGCAGCACAATATTGCATCGGTTACCAAACCCATTCATGGACAGTGGGCGTAAGGCAGGCTGTGAGCAGTGCTGGGGGAAATGCTTTGCTGACTCCAGCAGTAATTCCAGATTAAGTCCACTAAGACCTGGACACTGAGGACCCTCTTGCCCCACAGCTCCTACCTCGTTAGCTTGCACAGCCATGTTTCCTCTTGTCCTTTTGTTTTCTATAAGAATGCTTCAAATTCCCAGGCCATCACCAGTAACTATGGAGGCCTGTGGCCCCACATCACAGTTTATAAAGACCATTCACAGGTCTGCTACATCAGTGAGGTGATGATGGAACCATTCACTTCTGTCAGAGGCCTCAATGCCAGTTCTTGGACCCAACCATGGAGGGATTTATGAATGATCTCTTGTCCATCTTGGATGGGAGAGGTGGTATTATAGGGAGATTCAGGGTGGTGTAAAATTACGGTCTGATGAGTAAAACCCAGCAGGGGGATGTGTGTCAAGGGCATAGGGCAGAAAAAGCAATGGGGAGTTGGCACTTCTTCAGCCCTAATCTATGGTGAGACAGTTCCCAGCTTGTCCTGTGGGCAGGAGGCCCATGGGTGGGCCTGGCGAGAGCTGCATTTGGACTGTCAGGCCTGTGCATGTAGCTGTGAGATAACAAATGTGTGAGGCATAAACTCCCAGACACATGGAGGGGCCAAGTCAGGGCTGCCGGGTAGGGAAGGCTGGGAACTGACACCCCAGACACCAGGGCGCGAAGAAGTGACAGCTCCACAGTGACACCGACTGCCCCAGGTAGGTTTCAGCATGATGCCAACATTTCCCCACCCAGGCAGGTCCATGGCCCCCTCCCCTGGGTCAGGCCAATGGGGCAGGATTGGTGCTGCTGAGGGGACCCTCCCTCTGGGACTCCCTGAGTCGTGGGTGTTTCAGTTGTCCTCTGGCTGCTGCAGGGACCTGAAGCCAAATGCTGCAGCCCTGATTTCTCGCTTGCCGCAGCTCCCTGGCTGCCCCAGGGGTTTGGCTGTTGGAGACAGCAGGGTTTTCCCCAGCATCTGTACTGGGTCTTGTTGCACCGACTGCTGCATGAATGCTCACCTCTCTCTCTGCTGTTCCAGGATTCAGAAGAGACTGAGGACACGCAGGTGAGTGACCCTGACCCCATATCAGTGACCCCAGGCCCCTCCCCTGAGAGAGCTGTGCTTCCTGCAGCCACTTCTGCCACCATCACTGTGCCTCGTATGTAGGGTTTGAACTTGTGATGGGACAGAGCCTTACTGCCTTCTGCCCTCACTGCCCCTTGTGCCAGTGCACTCTGTGCCCATTGGGCCCTGGGCAGGGCTGGGACTTTGGCCATGTCAGACCCCAGGCCCAGGAATGTGCTGGCAGCCTGAGCCCAAGCCCTGAGCAACTGATTCAAGGAAAGCACCAACCTTGAGGGAGACTCCTCTGCTCCCTCCTGCAAATCCCTTCTTGGCAGAGCCCCTCTGGGGCCAGGGCTCACACCTCCTGTTATGCAACCCCATCACAGCCTTGGTCAAAGCTGTGGGGCAGGGCAAGAGGGGCCTGATGCACAGCCGGTTGCTGCCTCAGATTGATGGGGGGAAAGAAGCAGCTCCACACCCTGTTCCTGTGACACACGGTGACCAGAGTGAGAGGAGTGGGGAGCAGCATTCATAACTGGATGCATTTGAGGGGAAGAGGGAAATGCAGGAAATCCCAGCTCTGCCCAGATGTAGGCATCTCTGTCAGACAGAAACCAAGTGCTTGGCTGTCCAACTCATTCTTTGTACACTTGTGGCTGGTGCACCGTCCCTTGGAAAACATGGGGGACGTGGGGGTAGGGCCTGGTAGGGAGAGCAGTGTACTGGGAGCAGGGACTGGGACACGGGGCTGCAGTTACTATCAAGTCTGGGGCCCTGGGCAGAGGCCAAGGCATGGGCTCCACTTCCCTATCCATGCCCTGGGTGAGTGGCACTGACTTAAAATAGAGGGATCCAGGCAGTGACCCAGGCTCATTGACCCCAAGACCAGCCCTGCTCCAAGATCCACTGTTTCTATAGGAAGGTGGGTGCGATTCTCCAGCCCCTTCCCCGTGACAAGGCCAGACAGAACCAGCCACAGGAAGGATCTTGCTTCTTTGCTCCCCTGCCCTGGTCCCTGCCAGCAGGGTGGGTGTGGGGGGTGTCCCTGCCTGCCCTGTCTCTCTGTGATGCCCGTGGGCCTGGGCCAGGGCTCCTGGGGGTGAACACGCCTGCCCTGCTCCAGGGGATGGAGTGAAAGAGAGGACGGCCGGGCGAGAGGGGCATCCTGGGGCCAGGTTCAGCCCAGGCAGTGTGAGCAGGGACCTCACATCAGAAGTAGCCTTCCTCCAGCCACCGTCTCTGAGGTGTTAACTTCCTGCAGCACGGTCTGTGCTGGCATGTTTTAATGGCCGCGTGGAGACCTTTGTACTACCCCTCCCCGTGGCCGCTGGTTCTGCCTCAGGCCAGTTGCAAGAGATACCACGTGACAGGAGATTAGTTGACTGAATGCCCCGAGGAGCTCAGCAAGGAGCTGGTGACCGCCCTGGACCAGAACCATGGCTCGTACAATTCCTAATTAGTGCAGCCAGCTCCCCTTGATAGGATTTCCTTCTGCTGGGGGACGGGCACTGCGAGCTCCTCCACTGCGAGGCAGCAGGTGTGAGCAGCCATTCACCCTGAGACCAGCAGCCAGTGCCCAGGAAACCTGTTCTTCTGGGGGTGCCTGCAGGGTCACTGCCACACCTGGGGCAGGGCAGAGCACCCTCCCTGGGGAGCAGACACTGGTCCTGCTGCCACCCTGTCCGCAGCAGTCACAGGGAGGAGCTGCGGCTGCTCCCTGGGCATGCTCAGCCCCTGCCCAGCCTGGGTCAGTCACATCTTGGGGTACATAGGTACAGGGGGGTCCAGCTGTGTCCCTGCAGGTCTGTCCCTGCCAGGCACCTCTCCAATCCAGGCTCCCCAGCACTGCTGCAGCACCAGAGTAGCTCTAGGCACTAGTGTGCACAGGCTGCCAGCTCCTGCTGCTTGTTAATGCAGAGATTGTGAACCCCTGGGAATACTGGGGACAGCCCCAGGGGGTACACATGGCAGCACGAGGAGGCGGTGCATGGCAGTAGCGGAGAGTGGTGAATAGTGGTGGTTGCCACATGCAAGCTCCCCAGCCCCGGCCACCACCACTTACCACTCCCTGTCAGCACCATGCGCAGCTTCACATCTGGCTGGCCATCAGCACCCCGCCCCCCTCTGGAGGGGGTACACTCCAGAAGGGGTACCCACTAGACCTTGTCACTCCTGCTGCTGTCCCCGCTGCCTGCTGGGGCAGTGCACCATGGGGGGAGTGTGGAAGAAGTACCCATACCTCTCCTCGCTCATACTCACACCCTGCCCAGCCCTATCCTGCCTTTCAATTTAAAAACATGGTCACCCTTGGTGGAGACGGTGGCTTGAGGAAGGCCCACTTTGACGTGAGGTCCCTGCTCACACTGGTTGGGCTGAAACTGGCCCCCAGGATGCCCCTCTACCCCAGCCATCTTCTCTTTTGCAATTAGTGAGGACAATCCTTTAAAAAGGTTGAAAACCCCTGGGTTAATGTATGGGGATGTGTGAGGCTGCCCAGGATAGTGCAGAGGTCTGTGGAAATCCCCTTCCCTCTGTGCACCGCATCTTTTCAGCTGTCGTGGTGCCCTGGTCACCACCCTATGCACGCTTACGTTGGGTTTACATGTTTTCCTGCTGCCCAGGCCATGTCATCATGGAAACAGAAGTGTATTCATTTCTCCTTGGCCCTGCAGTGATCCCCTCTCTGCCCAGCTGCATCGCACTCCTTGTTACACTCCAGATCCACCAGCTGATGGCAGGTAGGTGCCTCTGCTTCCTTGCACCATTTACTGCTGTTGTCACACTGAGCTCCACTGCCCTGTGACACTGTGCACAGCAGAGATGTGACCACGGTTGTCACCCCTTTCCATTGCTGTTGCCACGCAAGGTCAGGGGATGCACTGAACTTCCAGCCCTGAGCTCTTCCCTTTGGGCCTGTGTCCTCTCAGCGGCTGGACTTGATGCCTTCACTTCGTCCTCCCTCCCTGAGTCAGCCCGCTGCCCAGTGCTTCCCTCCCTTTCCTGCCTTAAAACCACGGCTGTGTAAGACCTTGCCCCTTGGCACTTACTGCCACTGTGATGTGGTCTGTCACAGTGGCCTGGCTCTCAGTCTCTGATGAACTTGTTCAGTCATTTATTACACTTCTCTGACCAGTCTCTCTCCTAACTGTCTGCCTGTCTGGGACTGAGAGGTGCCCACACCTGAGTGCACAGGGCCTCAGGCAGGTGCCCTTCCCCCAGTTCCCTTTTCTCATTATGGGGCTATATCTGCACCAGAAAACAGACCCGTTGCTGAGGTGGGCAGGGACCAGTAATGCTGTGCACTTCAGTGTTGCGCTGCACCTTTTGGAGCCAGGCTGCTGGGGATGCAGCTTTGCCCTTGCCCATGCTTTGCTGATGCTGTTCTTGAATCTTCCTTTCTCTGGTGTCTTGTGCTGCTCCCAGCCCAGTTCAAAGTGATTGGATCAGACCAGCCACTCGTTGTCTCTGTGGGAGAAGACGCCGTCCTCCCCTGCCACCTCTCCCCCAGCATGAGCGCTGCGAGCATGGAGGTGAGGTGGTTCCAGTCTCAGGTCTCTCCCTACGTGCACTTGTACCAAGATGGACAGGATCAGGATGGGCAGCAGATGTCTGAATATCGAGAGAGGACTTCGCTCATAAAGGATGACATCACCAATGGGAGCGTCTCCCTAATAATACACAGTGTCCGACCCTCTGACCACGGGCAGTACAAGTGCTTTTTCCAGTCCGATGTCTACTATGAAGAAGCTCTGTTGGAACTGCAGGTGACAGGTCAGTGCCTCTGCTTTTGGGACCTGCCCAGAGTGTAGTGAATGGGGCTGTTGGGCTTAGTGGGAGGTGACAATAATGCACTTGTCAGCACCCAGAGTCTTCTCTCAGCCTCCAGTGCCTGCAGTTTAGGGAGCCTGCAGTGCTGGCAGAGGCAGCATAGATAGCAGAGCCAGGGGGCTGGAGAGGGGGCGGTGCTGAGCATGGGAGAATGGGTGCTGGGGGATAGGCAGTCTTACTTGCCGGGGCAGTTGCTCACCTGGAGACATACCAGGCAGGGGCTGGAGGCTCCAGCATTGTGGAGGAGGCAGGAGTCCCTTCATTGCCTGAACTCCTCCCGGCTCCTTTTTCTCTCCACCCCTTGCCTGAGACACTGCTGCTACCATGGGAGGTCTTTGCATGGCGCCCAGCTCTGGGGTGAATCAGATGACAGCTGCTGTTCAGCTGTGTGCTGAACGACACTAGAAAAGCCTCAACTTGGTGGCTACTGCAAGGGGGTTAACTCCATGGCCCCTTGGCCAAGCAGAAACCTCCTGTCCCCAGCAATGGTGTTTTCTATGAGGGAGGAGGGGCAGGGGCAGGATGAGAGGACTCCTGCCTCCTGCTGCCAGTCTGGCCCCCACCTGTCTCTGTTCTTATGCTCCCCCCAGTCCCTTAGTCACCACTTGGGGCTCCTGCCCTGGTCACCTGGCCCAGCTTACTTTATTGAGTGTTGGTGTCTGTTCCCTGAGAGCAAACTGGAACGGCTTTCCTCATGTGCCCTGTCCTTAGGGTGGCCCGCACACTGTCCTAGAGGGGTGAGGATGGAGCAGGTTTCAGTTTCACAGAAGTTTGAAAGCCTGATTTTGTAAAATCATTTCTTTATAACTGGGGAAAAGAAAGAAAATGTGAATGAGACGATGTGAGCTGGGATGAGCATGGGAGCTGTTCATTGCCATTGAAGAGATGCAGTAACAGATCCAACCTGACCGCAGCTTGGAGCGTTTCGCTGCAGCTTCTACCCTGTTCTCAGACCCTTTTGCAAGAAGGCTGGGGTGACCCCTGTGCACTCTGGGCTTTGCACCACATCTCAGTAGTCATGCTCTGATTCACGCACTGTCAGCCATGCACTGGGGTGGGGGTTCTCGCACTGTGGGTTGCGACCCCCTGGGGGCTTGGGAGCAACTTAAAAGGGCATAGCAAATCGGCACGCTGCTCATGCTGACCGGGAGCAAATTGCAGCATCTTCCCAGCCCCCAGCCCCAGCCGATCACAGCATAAGGATGGGAGGCAGCTGCCTTGCACAGGAGACAGTTTTCCATCCCCCATCTCCTCGATCGGGATGCAGGGTTGGGAGGCAGCTCCTTCAGAGGTGGAACAGCTCCTTCCACCCCCTGTTGCCCAGTTCTGGCCCTAGTGACCCATGCCAGCCCAAGGGTGGCACTGGGGGAGCCTGGAGCTCCCCTTGGCTGCTGTAGTGGGGCAGAGCAGGGCAGGAATAGCTCTGTCCTGAGCTGCTCCCAATGGGCACATGTGTAAAAACGTTCCCAGGGAAAGCTTTCTGCCTCTTATTTTACTGCGCAGAAACCATAAATTGCATCAATAATATGTGTAGATGCACCCATTCTTCTGTACCAATTTAATCTAATTTCTAGTAGCAGGATTTTGTTTCAGGTGACAGGACACGCTGGGGTCCATGGAATCCTTTTAAGGGTGCCACAGGATGTCATAAGACCATCGAAAAGTAGGGCTGGAAAGGACCTCACAAGGTCATTGAGTCCAGCGTCCTGCTCAAGACAGGATCATCCCTGATAAGCCACCCCAGCCAAGAGTCTGTGCAACCTGCTCCTGGACAGCCCCAAGGATAGAGAGTCCACAACATTTCTAGGCAGGCTGTTCCAGTGCTTGACCACCTTCATAGATTCATAGATTCATAGATGTTAGGGTCGGAAGGGACCTCAATAGATCATTGAGTCCGACCCCCTGCATAGGCAGGAAAGAGT